TTTTTTTTTTTTTTTTTTTTTTGTTTTCTAATGTAGAATGGATGCGATAAAGCAAAGAATGTCATGTTGGTCAAGTGTTCTGTAAAACAGTTAAAAAAGAATGAACTGATAGTGTAGTAAGAATTTTTCTAAACTGCGATGCATCATTCCAAAGGGTCAATCATGCATTATTTTATGGCTTAAATTTCAATATCAGCTGTATCAGAACTAAATGGAAAAATCTATGTTGCATCAAAAATAGCTGCACTACTGCAGTCTGAATAGTTGTGTTAAAATGTTTGTTTCAGTTTTCTTTTATATTTTATTATAGAAAAGTATGATGATTATGAAGCGTTGGCTGAATTTGCAACTTGTCTCACAATATTAAAATAATTTCCATCTAGGTTATAGGTTACAGTTCGGAGAGATATATCAATGAGCACTTTCAAACTGGTGTTGCAGGCTGACTACATGGGTAAATATCACATTCAAGTTGACAGTGAATTTTACTTTAATCTGCTGATTATTTTTTTCCCAGCTCTTCACTTTCTGGTGCCTTTATTCCTAATCTATGATCACTTGTGATCCTCATCATAAGACAAAGTGAACAAAATGTGGTCCAAAGCCGACATGTTTCAATGTGTATGCCTGGAGGGCAAGGACAGATAGATTTTGGGATATTAAATATTTGACGTCTCCTGCTGCTATGAGTATTTTTGACACTCATCAATTATTCATTGATTTTTTTTCCTTCCCTCTCATCTCTTTTCATCCTTTATGCTACAACCTAAAATAGAGCAACAGATGAAGGATTGTTTCGTACTAAAGGCCAGTGGCAGATTTCATGGATTGATTTAACTCTTATCTTGTTTACTGAAGAAAGTTTTTCTTCTGTTTTGTGAGACATGAAATGAGGAGGATATGATGGGGTGGTGTTTATTTATTTATTTCTAGCTTTTCTTGTTCTAGCTTGATTGCAGCAGCAAAAACAAGAGAAACACAAAAATTCCTATGATGTACATTATTGACAGCTTTAGTTTTTGAAGCATAGAGTAGTGACACATGCTTTATCCAGTTCATTATGGGACATCTGCCTTTCTTCCTGTCATATCTGTCGTGCATTTTTCCTTTATTGTTTTGGCAAAGAAAGAACATACACTACGTATGTGTTTGTGCAATGATGACAGCAGGTTTTCCAGCAAACCTTTGTGGTATTCCTGTTTGAGCAGCTGCAGCTCCTGATGAAGGTTGGGGTCATTCTCCTTTTCTCTGAGTTGAGAATCAGAGCATTTCAGCTGATCAGACTGACTCAAACAGACCCGAGACACAATTCAGTTCAGTTTATTTATATAGCGCCAAGCCACAACATACGTTGTCTCGGGGCACTGTACATGAAAAAAGAACAATCTAAAGAAGAAGCCAGCAGATTGTGTTGAATCACTTCATCACAGTCTCCCATCCTGAGCATCAGACAGTGGAGAGGAAAAACTTCCTTTTTACAGGAAGAAACCTCCAGCAGAACCAGGCTCAGGACAGGAGGCCATCTGCCTCGACCGGCTGGGCTGGGGGACAGGAAAGAGACACAGGTAAACACAGAAGAACTGGTCCAAGACTGATCCAAGTGCATCAAGCTACTTCTGGAAGAGACAAAAAGAAAAAGAAAAAACATATTATTGATAKAAATAATTACAATAAACATGCAGAGAAGAGCGACTAAAGTCAAGCAGAGTGAGGAAATGTGCTCAGTTTGTGCTCCAGCAGTTTAAGTCTATAGCAGCAGAAATGAGGAATAATTAAAGAAACCTAAGTCTAATTATGGGATTTATCAAAAAGGAAAGTCTTCAGTCTCTAATCTTAAAAGTAGACAGTCAGCCTCACGGACAGAAACATGAAGTTGGTTCCACAAGAGAGGAGCTTGATAACTAAAAGCTCTGCCTCCTATTCTACTTTTAGAAACTGAAGGAACCACAAGTAAACCTGCAGTCTGAGAGTGAAGTGCTCTGTTAGGAAAGTATGGAACAATAAGATGTTTAATATATGATGGAGCTTGGTTGTTAAGAGCTTTGTAAGAAGTACACAAAAAAAAAACATGGTGTGTCAGGTGATCTACTCTGCCTTCATCTGCAAATTTACTACTGGCTTGGCTAAAGTGCAAAGGTGGACAATGATATTTTACTGAAACTTGCAGGAAGTAGTTATTAAATGCATCGCTGCAACTGTTTAACTTGATTTGAGATGGCTGCTACAGACAACTGAGAAAAAAATAGCAACAGCTCTGTCAAAATTTACAGAAATTTACCTAATATTTAGTGAGACTAACCCCATACATACTCTGAGCTCTAATAAGTTGCACAAGATCTTTGAAATATTGCTATTAACAATTTGGAGTCAACTCTGTCTGCCTGTTAGCAAAATATCTCATGAGCCAATGGATGAAATTCAAGGGAAGTTACAGGAAACAATTAATGTCCTTCTACAACTTATTCAATTTTAAATTCAGACCAAATCAAAATGGCCACCCTATTAATCAACATTAGCAAACATAAATATGGCTATATCTGGTCAGTTATATACTGATCTAATATTTATTGCGGTGTTACATTCAGAGCATGTGTTGCGTAACATCAACACATGCTCTGAATGTGATATCTTGGATGAAGTTGCACAAAAGGTTAAATCAAAACAGCATCATAATTTCTCAGCATAAGATTTGAAGTTTTTAACTCTTACATGAAAGGCAGAAAGTGATAAAGTAAACTGGGCCATAAACTCAGTATTTCACTTTGAATTATTTGGTTGCTGAAAAAAAAATAGGATCACCACACAGAAAACCTGCTTGAAGTACTGTGCATTTGTATTTTTAATATAACTGGAATCAAGGTGAATTTGCAGAATAACAACCTGTTCAACAGACAAGAAACGGTTATTAAGAACAAAACAGATGTGCAGCACTTTTGACACGTGTTGAACTGATATCATTTCTATTTTCTGTGCTGCACTATTCAATCGTGCAGTAAGTAAAACTGTTCTTTACTTTGTCAATGTGTCTGTTTGCACCTATTCTTTTCTTTGCTCATTTGACAACCTGCAAAAATACCCTGGAAAGAACTGAAAGGAAGAGCCAGAGAGTTCACTTTAGAGCAACACCAAAAGCACATTTGGTGGTTCAGTTCTGAATATAAATGTTCCAGGAATGAAAGTTGTACTTAATTCGCGGAGCATCTTTGGATGTAAAACTTTTACTAATTTAACATTTGATTTCCTTCAGTCCACATGTTTCTAAATTACCACTTGATCTAAATAATTTGTGGATTCTCCTTGGCTTTAATCAATTCTTAGCTGAGGATATATATATATATATGTTGACGTTAGTATTTTATTTTTGTCACAGCTGAAAACAATACTAAATGAAAAGTATTGACTGTAAAACATCTGCTGTAACTCAATAATTGAGAAAACCCACAAGTTTATTAGTTTAAAAGGTTTGAATAAAACTCTGATAATTAGAGGAGGGACTTAGAATCAATGCTGTTGTTACAAGAGAGGAGAGGTGGGACTCATCAGCAACTATGAACATCTTCCAGTGCAGAGGAGAATTTACACCACCTCAGTGAGGAGAGCTCAGCAGAGGAGGGGATAACACTCTTCCTCTGGAGGCTGCAGTGTGTGAGAATCCTTCCTCCTCAATCATTATAGAGGAGAACTACTAACTGAGGGCATCCAGACAAACTGCAACACATCTTGTCACGCCAGCTGCAATGTGACTGACCAACAGGAAAACTACGTTGAGAACCCTGGGGTGCTTCCTTTAGTTTTTCCGACCTTTACTCCGTGTACGTTCTGCAGAGTTAAGCTGAACGGCCTGCTGTACGACCTCTCGTGGCCCGTCAGGCCTGGGAGTTATGG